AAAACCCACTTCCGAACACATTTTTGCTTCAGCACGGAAGATGCTAAGAGACGTGCTAACTTGAAAATGTGCACAGAACCCCATTCCGACACACATTTTTGCTTCAGCACGGAAGATGCTAAGAGACGTGCTAACTTGAAAGATCGCACAAGAGCCCAGTCGGACACACATTTTTGCTTAAGCACGGAAGATTGCAAGAGACGTGCTAACTTGAAAATGTGCACAGAACCCCATTCCGACACACATTTTTGCTTCAGCACGGAAGATGCTAAGAGACGTGTTAACTTGAAAATGTGCACAGAACCCCATTCCGACACACATTTTTGCTTCAGCACGGAAGATGCTAAGAGACGTGCTAACTTGAAAATGTGCACAGAACCCCATTCCGACACACATTTTTGCTTCAGCACGGAAGATGCTAAGAGACGTGCTAACTTGAAAATGTGCACAGAACCCCATTCCGACACACATTTTTGCTTAAGCACGGAAGATGCCAGAACGTGCGACTTGAAAATGTGCACAGAACCCCATTAATTTGCTTAGCACGGAAGATGCTAAGAGACGTGCTAACTTGAAAATGTGCACAGAACCCCATTCCGACACACATTTTTGCTTAAGCACGGAAGATGCTAAGACGTGCTAACGTGCACAGCTCCGAACACATTTTTGCTTTAAGAGACGTGCTAACTTGAAAAGTGCACAGAACCCCATTCCGACACACATTTTTGCTTCAGCACGGAAGATGCTAAGAGACGTGCTAACTTGAAAATGTGCACAGAACCCCATTCCGACACACATTTTTGCTTCAGCACGGAAGATGCTAAGAGACGTGCTAACTTGAAAATGTGCACAGAACCCCATTCCGACACACATTTTTGCTTCAGCACGGAAGATGCTACTAGGCACTGGGCTTAAGTCGACCCATGTTGTGTGAAGTCGGCCCTCCCCAAGCTCACGCCCCGATTCGTGCGAAGTCGACCCATCCGCGAAAAGTCGACCCACAGACTGCGATCCGCAACTGCACGCCGGTTTTGAACGAGCACAACCCGATATGTCAAATCTGCGTGGCACGAGACTCTTCGCACAAAGTGAAGCAAACGTGCACTGAAACAAACAAGAACTGCAAGTGCACGCCCCGTTCTAGTGGGAGCTATCCAAGCCTCGAAACGAGCGGAAACTGCATGTACACGCTGGGTTTCAACGAGCTTTGTCGGATCATGCTGGCAAACGGCGCCCTAACTATTGGTTGCAACCTTCGGGGATGCACAAGTTGGGGTTCACGACTGACATTTTCCTCGTAGAAAACCTATTCAACTCTGCATTTTCTCTCTAGAACCTATTCAACCCTGTATTTCCCTAGAAAACCTATTCAATTCTGTATTTCTCTAACAACCTATTCAACCCTGTATTTCTCTAGACAACCTATGCAGCCCGGTATTTCGCTAGAAAACTTAATCAACTTCACGTTCAGTAGTAAGACCTGTTCGCAAGACCCGAAAGGTTACTACACAAGAAGGCTTTGAACTTGTAGAACCCGATAGCTTACTACCCCCAAAGCTTTAAACCTGTAAGACACGGAAGTTTACTGCCCCAAAGGCTTTAAACCTACAAAACGCATAGATTTACTACCCAAACAGCTTTAAACTGTAAACCCGTGATACTTACTTGCCTGACAGCGTGCCAACCAGAAATACTCGAACTTGCTACCATAAAGGCCTAAAGGTTCAACTCGGTATACCTCAAGGTTAGTAGCACGAGGGCTCGAAAACTCCAAAGCGCTGCTCTGCCCTTCATTTGCCCCCCCGGCTTCTTCACGAATCGTACGCTTCTGTTCGCATGCCAAGCAGTCAACCAGGCTTCGCGGTTGTGCTTGGAATTAAACATCGACTTGCAAGTTGTTTGGTAGACAACAGATAAAGGACGATCTTTCGATACCTGCGGTTTCAGCTTGCTTTGCACAAAGAAGTCAGCAACAGGACGGACTTCGGGTTCCCTGCTCTCGGCGAAATGGGCACAGATGTAAGATGCACAGCCACCGGACGTGTCGAGGTCGTATTCTTCGGACGATTCCTGCTCTGGAGGCTTGGCGCCAGCAGCTGCGTCAGCAGGCACTGGTTGAACTGAAAGGGCCGAACTGCTTGCGGGAGCATGCTTTGGCACATCTGCAGCACCACCAGCGGCAGCCGAAGTGTTGGCTGCTTTGTCGACACCTTGGACACCGAATCCTTTAATGACGCCTCACACGTTAGACCTGCGTTTTACCCTGGACTGACGTAGCACGAACCAGCTCAAAACACCAAATGAAGAGCTTCGAGGGGCTCTTGGCCTGCTTGGCTGCAGCCTCCTCTCCTTCGGGCCGTATTTCCCTAGAAGAAAACCTATTCAACTCTCCATTTGTCTCTGGAACCTATTCAACCCTGTATTCCCCTAGAAAACCTATTCAATTCTGTATTTCTCAGAAAACCTATTCAACCCTGTATTTCGCTAGACAACCTGTGCAGCCCTGTATTTCCCTAGAAGGCCTAATCAACTTCACGTTCAGTAGTAAGACCTGTTCGCAATACCCGAAACGTTACTACACAAGAAGGCTTTGACCTTGTAAAACCCGATAGCTTACTACCCCCAACGCTTTAAACTTGTAAGATGCGAAAGCTTACTGCCCCAAACGCTTTTACACCTACAAAACGCATAGATTTACTACCCAAGCAGCTTTTAACCTGTAAAACGCAGAGGTTCACTACTGAAACAGGTGTAATTTGTAAAACCCACAAAACCGATCCTGTAGGCTCGACAGCCTTCCGGCGACGCATCTCCTGACGGAGATCGCCACTCCACTTTGCCAGGTTGGCTTTTGTGCCAGCCTCGACCGCGGCCACCTCGGACTCTACGTTCACGATAGGGGGCTGCGATTTTGTAAATCCTCCACACTTGGCCCCTCTGGCAACCGCGTCGGCCACTTCGGAGTACTCCTGCGCGGGCATGTGGAATCACAGTCTCAGTTTTGGCATCTACAATCAATAGGAGCTGAGCCCTAATGAGGTTTGTATCAATAAGGCTTACTTCCGCTCATCGAGACCTTGTTTGCGACCCCGCAGTATCCGCACTTCGGCAACGACGTAGGCGTACGCCGTCCGCAAGAAGCACAGGGAGTGCGTTGTTCAGCTCGCTTGTAACCGGTGGGCCTGTTCAGGATCGCTTTGCCTTCAGCAGTCGTTGGCTGCATCTCCTGGAAAGGGACAATAGACCGGAACAGCTGGGCTCCACGATCGACGAAGACTTTGGAGCGGTCGATCGGTTGCTCCGCCACGAGACCGCACCTTTTGAAGCCGTTGCGGACGTGCGTGCTGTTGCCGTAAGCAAAGTCCCAGACTTCGTGAGCGAGGTCGAGGGCCTGCAACTGCGAAATTCCTTGCTGTGTCTTCCGCAAGGCATCCCACCGAAGCTCAGCTTGCGCATTGGGGTCCTGGTCTGCTGGACACACCGCGGCCGTTGCGTAGGGTGGGAAAAACACCGGACGAATGTTCTTCGCCTCGCAGGCGATGGTGAAGCCAGGTGTGAGGTGGATCAGAGATCCACCTCCCGTGTCAAGCAGCAGCACCAGCGGTTGCGTTTCTTCAACCTCCAGCTCAGCCCGCACCCAATTGGCCCAGCGAATTGTGTACTGGACAAACAGTTCGCCAGTCATCGCTCCCTTAGGAGTGGCCCTGATAGCTGCTTCCGGCCACACAGTTTCCCACTGTTTGGAGTAGACAGTGCCACTGACCACAACAGAGGGCGGTGAGCAGTGCCCTCCAAGGCTCAAGAAGGGCAAGACGCTGATGTGACCGAAGGAGCCTTCCGTGACAGAGCAAGTTGCAGAGCCCACGCAGCGAGGCGCGAGCACTTTTTGACCCTTGACCTTGCCGTGGTCCAAAGACTCCATGCCTTTCTCGTCCGTGACCCAAATGCACTTAGAGCTCTGGCTGGTCAGAACACCGTCCTTCCGAAGGTTGGTTTCGTCGAGAACCCTTTCCAACGTGTCAAAGTAGCCGTGCACGGCCTTCGGAGTGAGAGCAGCCGCTTGTTCCGCTGGCCGTGCGTGCAAGCAGCATCGACGCACGTGGAACTCGTTGGGGTAAGACTGGGCAACCCAATCCTTCCATCTTCTGTAGACATGCTCCATGGACCGCTCGTAAAGCTTGTAGTCTTCCCATGGTGTAACAGCTGCCGAAGAAGCATCCACTATGTTCCGGTTGACCAAGTAGAACTTGAACATAGCTTTCTTGATGTCCCCAACGCTCAGTGGCTGGTTCGACAAGGCACAAAGGGTCACGTGTCGGACCAGGTCTGACTTCTGCTGGTTGTTCAGGAGTCCGTCGCCATGTCTGCCCACACAGAAGTCTGGCGGCAACATGTTTGGATCCTCAGACTCTGGTAGCTCATTGCAGAATGTTTGCATCCGTCGGATCTTTTTCCGGTTGACACGCCAGTCTTGGAGTGCTTCTACTGCTTTGGCAACCTCGCCGTTCCAGTTCCCAAGCGCAAGTAGGTGGACAACGTCCAAGTAGAGGAGGTGTAGGTCGCGTGCGTTTCGCAGAAAAGCAGCTGAGGTTGCTTTTTTCAGCTCAGGCTTCAGGAAAGTCCAGCGTTTCTTGAACTGCGCAACTGTTTCCACGCGACTGTCGAAGCGAGGCTTTGCGCTTTCCAAGAGCTGTGGCTCCAAACGCTTCTCGGTTGACTGCGGACCGGTCTTCGAGCACTTCTCCGTGGACTGTGGACTGGTCTGCAGCTTCTGCTTCTTTTTCTGCGGCGTGCTGACCTCCTCGCAATGACAGCGTTGCACACACGCCGGACGACGGCAACCCCCTTGCATACCCTGGTAAACAACGTTGCACGACACGCAGTCCTATAGTATAGCCGTAATACGTTGCACTTAAATGCTCAACACATACAAGTAGCACTCCTGCTCCTGCTCTTCGTGTTTTGGCGGTGGCACGGCCGGCCGCGCCAAGGTCTGCGCGTGCCCGTGGTACTTGTCCTTCCAAGCTGCTTGCTCAGCGTCACTCAACTTCTTCCAGTGCTCGAGAGCTTCCCGGCTCTTCAAACGCCGGCCGTCAAAGTCAGGCCCCACTGCAGAGCAAACCTTCTGGAACCAAGTTGTCCATGAAGTCTTGGAAGGCCGTCCCTGCCAAATCTCGCTGGTCCCACTGTCTGGCTGGGCCGCAGGATCTTCAGCAACAGATGCCAAAGCATGAAGTTGCTGCAGGGCCAAAACCTGGGTTTTGCAAGGGGCCTAGAGGTGGCCCTACGCGAGGCCCGCACGAGGTCCGCGCGAGGTCGTGGTCACAAGCTACACATCCAAGAGCTTTAGCCTAGCCAATCACATCACCCGGTGAATACACAGTCAAGCCTCATCGGTTGGAGGTCGCGCATTTTCCGGTGATTCAGCGCACCGCCGGTCAAGGTCCTGATGCGTATAAAGTCTTTCTTTTCAGGTTTCTTATGGAGAGCGCATCGCCGGCATCATAAGCAAGAAGCACCGCTGAAGGCAAAGCAAACCATTAACATATCCGCTTTCCTGACTAGACGTAGAACAAGCAGCTCCCTACCTTTAGGGATGATCGTGAGAAGCTGTAACTAAAGCAGAGGGTTTTGCAGCTGTCCTTTGCAACGGGCTTCACGCACAGTCGCGCAGCCAACTGCTTGTCAAAGCAAAGCTTGCAATAGGTCGGAAGGCAGCTGCGAATCTCAGGAGAGATTACCACAGCGCAGTCTGCGCAAATGTGCACCTGCATCTCCTCGACAGAACCCGGGGTCAGAAAGCCCTGCTTTCTCCGGAAAACCTATTCAACCCTGTATTCCCCTAGAAAACCTATTCAACTCTGTATTTCTTTAAAAACCTATTCAACCCAATTCAACCCTGTATCCGCGAGAAACCTATGCCACCGTGTATTTCGCTAGAAAACCTATTCAGCCAATTGCCTCTCGTGCTGAGGCTCCTCGACAGCTCACGGGGGGCCCCGGTCTATACCAGTAGTTATACTTACACGTGTGACTCCTACAAACCACGGCTATGCTTATATGCACAAGATACTGTCCGTCCTGGCCAGATGCATTCTCGTCACACGCAAGAGTTGTCTGGGAGACCTCGGCGTCGAAGGGCGGCAGCGGCGCTGGTGCAGGAGTTGCAAGCTCGGCGCCATCGTCGCAAGGATCGCTGCTAGGAGCAGCTGCCTGTAGTTCTTGCATGCGCCTCTGGTTGTCTTTGACATTGGACCAGAAGCAGGACGTGCAGTATCCAGGGATGGCGCTTCTGCAGCCACCCGTCAAAGCTTCCCCGCACTGGACACAGACAGGGTCTGGCGGCGCAGCCGGCGGAGGAAGAGGCGGTATAGGCTATGTGCCAGAGGAACTCCTGCACAAGGTTTGTTTAGTTGGCGATTGGAGAGATGCAAACCCTTTCGCGGACACCGGCATGCAGCAGAGTCAGCAATGGAGTACGCATGATTGCGTGTATGCATGTTTGTGTGGGTTATTTGTGTGGGTCTAGGAGAGTGTGGGTCTACCCAACGCCAAACAGAGTGACCGAGACTGTTTTGGATGAGCTGGACCTAGCATCAAGAAGGCCACGGAATCACCTCTGTTTTAGGGTCGAAGTCCAAGTGTACATGCCGACGCTGGAAACACCGGCCTCCACTAGCGACAGCCTCCGTCCCTTCTTCAGGTCGGTGGCCGAGTGGGCCTTCGCAAGGTTTGGAGGTAACGGTCGCGGCTTTGCCCGCACACAGCTTAAGAGCGGCTCGCACAAATGCTCATGTGCAACCCACAACCGGAAGCTCCAAAACCGTACACCTTTAACCCAAACCTGGGAGCTTCTGTCACGATTCGCAGCCAAGCCTTCAGTCCGTGCTTCACTTGCGCAGTCATCTCGGCCTTCCAAGCTTTAAAAAGGTTACGGTTACAGTCTCAAGAATGTCAGGAGGCACGGTCCACGGAGAAACTCTTGAGATAATCGTCGCTGTGACCCACTACCCGTGGAACTATTCAACACCCTAAAGTCTACTACCCCGAAGGCTTCAAACCAGTAAACTCCAAATTCCGCTACCCCTCAAACGACTAACAACCTGAAGTTTACTAGTACCCCGAAAGCTTCAAAGCTATGTAGGCCCGCAAGGTCCTTCCTGGTGCAAAAACCCTGCAAAACGGTGGTTTTCGCCCAGCAAAGGGCAATTCTGTCCCCTTTTAATAGGGCCACCTTATATTTCTATTAGAAATATGGTAAAGTCCTATTAAGGGAGGTCAAAACCGGCCAAATGGACCACCATATTCAAAGCAGTACCTAGAGTCTCCATTGTAGTTCCTTTTTTGGTTAACCAGTTTTACGGTTAGGATCCTATAATAGAGATTTTGGTTAACAAAAGAAGGAACTACAATGGAGACTCTAAGTAAAACTCCAAAACCTATACTACCTCTCCAAGCCAACCCCCCAATAAGCAGAACTTGGAAAGCCGGTGAAGGGTAATCATACCCCTCAATGAGCAAAGCAGAACTTCGAAAGCCAGCAAAGGCTAAGCATACCCCCCAATAAGCGACACATATAGAAAGCCAGCGAAGGCTAAGCATACCCCCCAATACGCGACGCATATAGAAAGCCAGCGAAGGTTAAGCAAACCCCCCAAGAAGCAGAACTTAGAGAGCCAGCGAAGGCTAAGCATACCCCCCCCAAAAGCGAGGCACATAGAACGCCAGACCCAGTATCAAGAAACGGGAATGCCGACGCTGGAAACACCGGCCTCCAGTTGCGACAGCCTCCATCCCTTCTTCAGGTCGGTGGCCGAGTGGGCCTTCGCAAGGTTTGGAGGTAACGGTCGCGGCTTTGCCCGCACACAGCTTAAGAGCGGCTCGCACGAATGCTCATGTGCAACCCACAACCGGAAGCTCCAAAACCGTACACCTTTAACCCAAACCTGGGAGCTTCTGTCACAATTCGCAGCCAAGCCTTCAGTCCGTGCTTCACTTGCGCGCTCATCTCGGCCTTCCAAGCTTTAAGAAGGATACGGTTGCAGTCTCAAGAATGTCAGGATGCACGGTCCACGGAGAAACTCTTAAGATAATCGTCGCTGTGAGGAGCTGGCCCCGGGGCTCTCTTGAGGGAGTTGGTCCCTATAGGAAATGTTCTGACAGTCTTGTAGTCTTGTTCAAAGGTTTATTATGCGCCGGTTTGCACACCGGAACACTGATCAGAATGCGGTCCTTCAGGATCTAGTGAATCTAGTGGTCCCGGTTCCATGTCTCACTACTCACTACTATTCTTGCCTGACCAGCAACAGGCACCAAACCAACCAGACCATAAAAGCTACTACACATATTAACGGCTTCAAAACAGCAAAACTACAGTCCCACTACCCGTGGAACTATTCAACACCCTAAGGTCTACTACCCCGAAGGCTTCAAACCAGTAAACTCCAAATTCCACTACGCCTCAAACGACTAACAACCTGAAGTTTACTAGTACCCCGAAAGCTTCAAAGCTATGTAGGCCCGCAAGGTCCTTCCTGGTGCAAAAACCCTGCAAAACGGTGGTTTTCGCCCAACAAAGGGCAATTCTGTCCCCTTTTGATAGGGCCACCTTATATTTCTATTAGAAATATGGTAAAGTCCTATTAAGGGAGGTCAAAACCGGCCAAATGGACCACCATATTCAAAGCAGTACCTAGAGTCTCCATTGTAGTTCCTTTTTTGGCTAACCAGTTTTACGGTTAGGATCCTATAATAGAGATTTTGGTTAACAAAAAAAGGAACTACAATGGAGACTCTAAGTAAAACTCCAAAACCTATACTACCTCTCCAAGCCAACCCCCCAATAAGCAGAACTTGGAAAGCCGGTGAAGGGTAATCATACCCCTCAATGAGCAAAGCAGAACTTCGAAAGCCAGCGAAGGCTAAGCATACCCCCCAATAAGCGACGCATATAGAAAGGCAGCGGAGACTAAGCATACCCACAATAAGCGAGGCATATCGAATGCCAGCATGAACGCCAGCGAAGGTTACACAAACCCCCTTATAAGCGTCGCATGTAGAAAGCATGTGAGTCACGGGCATGAGCACTACAAGCAATCATAGGTTCATTTGACACAGTATGCTGGGTCCTGCATCTGCTTGCGGAGGCTCCGGCGGCAGAGCCGCATCATCAACATGGCCACCGACAGCATGGCTTGGCAGTGTCCTGCATCGCAGCTCTAGCCGTTTTGGGTTGAGGGTGCAGGTGCAGGGTTGGATTACACTACACTCGCAACTGCCTTGCTTCGAACATGCATCCGCTGCAGTTGCAAAGCACTGCTGTGGCAAAACTTGCCTGGGCGTTTTCTCGGTGAATCCCCTGGCACACCAGGACCAAAGGCTAACGTCCCCCACTGATCCGACACATTCGTCAGACGCCCCGATAGACTGCTCAGCTCTGAAGAACAGGTTGATGAGTCTATGTACCATTACATCTGTCTATCACGCAGAGAGCGTTTCGGAATCTCTGCGCAACAGGCAAAAAAATCAATAGCCGCACTAGAGATCTCATCCAAGAGAGAGCTCCATCTTCTCGACGCTGGTGGCTGAAACTTGCCTGGCCTTCGCTCTCTCGGCCCGCTGCTGCTTCCGCCGCTGCTGGGCACACATTTTGCAAATGCGCCCCTTACCATCCCTACGCCACGGCACTGTGGACCGACACTTTCCGCACACTCGGCACACGGGATCCGCGAGAGACTTGCGCCAGCCAGCTGGGTTTCTGTTGAAGTCAGCTGGCACATGAACCTCGGTAGCCACGGATTTCGGCTCCATAACGCCGACGCGGATCGCGGCGCCGTACGTCCGAACGGTTGGCAGTCCGGCCTCCTTGCACCTCTTGCAAAGCTCCTTGCGTATGGAGTTCCATGTCTTGTTGAGTCTCTCTTGCAGAGCTTTGCGCGCCAACGAGCGGGCCATAGCACAGAATGCTGCAAGGTGCGTCGGCTAGGATGCGTTGACAGAACTATAGATTCGAAGCAAAGCGGCTTTAGGCTTTGGAGGTTCGCGAAACAAGAATGCATAAGCAGACGGTGAACCCTCTCAAATTTCAATTCGTGTTTGACAGCAGGCCCTGCAAAACAGTCCTGCAAGCGGAACTGCCGGCTGGCGTGGCTGAATCAAGACCCTGCAACATGCACGGAAGGGGGACCAAAACAGAGTATGTCGTCTAGCAGAAGCCTGCATCTTCGCAACGGCATCCTGCTGCCGCTGGCGCAA